TATTTCTCCATCGTATTTTTAGCTCCTTTGTCAACGATAAGTTGCTCATAGTTGTGTGGCTTCATATCTGGATCCTCTATTCTGTTCCACTGGTCTTCATGCTCTGTTTTTGTGCCAGTTACCAGCTGTTTTTATTGTTATTTGCTTTGTAATATAGTTTGAAGTCAGGTATTGTGATACCTCCTGCATTGTTCTTTTGAACTGAGTATTGCCAAGGCCCTGATTTTGATGCCCAGCTCCACAGAGAGAGAGAGAGAGAGAGAGAGAGAGAGAGAGAGAGAAATAACTGACACCAACTTCATAAAAACCTTAGGTCATCCAATCCAAGCCCCTCATTTTACAAATGAGAATAAGACTCAAGATAAATGCATTTCATAATATAGTACCTTTGAAATAATAATAAAAATATATGAATTTAGGATAAAGTTCAAAATTTTGAATTTAGCATGTTATTTGCCATTCATAACTGTAAACATTTATTTCAATTTTTTGCTTATTAATTGAAATAATATTCAACAAGTTTAGAAAATGTTAGCAATAATTAAAAGGATAATTTGGGTTAAAGTGGGGCTGGAGGTGTGGCTTAAGAGGTAGAAGCACATGCTAGCAAGGAGGAAGCCCTGATTCAAACCCCAGTGCCACGAAAAACAAAACAAAACAATGTGGGTTAAATTATTGTAAAAATGTTATTATAATTTGATTCAGATTTGTTACTAGGATGACCCCAGATATTTCAGCTGCTAAATAGTTTGCTAACTATTAATAAAAGAATTTCTCCCAAATTGTCTATGATTAATATTCTCTATCCAACAAGATATATCGCACTCTACCTTATTGTGTCTTTTATACAGAAAAAGAAAATTCTTCCTTTCTTACACATTCAGTTCATCTACATTTCAAAGAGATATTATTTCAGTGACAGGAAGAGGAAATTTATGGTATCTTTGGTATAAGCAAAGTTGTTTTAGACAGCCACACTCAGCAAAAGTACTAGTGACATTTATAGAAAACACTGCCAACTCAAACTATTCCTTTAAAAATAGAACAGTTGAAGCTGGGCATCAGGCTCACGCCTGTAAGCCTAGCTACTCAGGAGGTAGAGATCAAGGAGGACTGCAGTTCAAAGCCAGCCCCAGACAAATAGTTCCTGAGACCCTACACAGAACAGGGCTGGCAGAGTGGCTCAAGCAGTAGACAGCCTGCCTAGCAAGAAACAAGGCCCTGAATTCAAACCTCAGTACCACCAAATAAGAGGACAACTGGATTCAAACGTTTTAGTAAAAATGGGTAAAAATTGGCTGGTGGAGTGACTCAAGTGGTAGAGCACCTGCCTAGAAGTGTGAGGCCCTGAGTTCAAACCAGTACTGGCAAAAAAAAGGGTAACAAATTGTATTAAACAGCTAAATGTTTTTATTAGTATATATTAATTGTATATATGGTATTGATTGTACTTTGATCAATTAACCCCTTCTAATTGTGTCTCTTTTCCTGTTCTCCCCTCCTCCCCCATTTTTCAACATCATGTTATAATAGATAATATATATTATTCACACACACATTTCAGGTCTAGATTCTGAAACATTTCTATATGTACAAGATTCTTGCACATAACAAAATTAATAATTGAAAATGCTATGTTCGGGGCCAGGCTGATACCACGGTGTTTGTAGTCTGTAAATTACCCAATTCTACTTAGCAACGACTCTTTCTATACATTTTACTCCAAGGCTAAAAAAGCCATATGAAAAAACCAATGGATTATATACTTTTAAAAATGATGAAGTTTTAGGGTATATGAATTGCATTTCTCCCCTTTTTTTTTTTTTGTTATGTTAAAGAAAACCAATGAATTCTGGGTGTGGTGGCTCATGCCAATAATCACACCTATAAGAAAGCAGAGATCTGGAGGATGTGGTTCAAGGCCAACCAAACAAAAAGTTAATGAGATCCCAATCTCAACAAATAAGCTGAGCATGGTGGTACCCACTACTAAGGAGGCGTAAGTAGGAGGCTCATGGTCCCAGAGTGAGACCCTATCTGAAAAATAAGTAAAGTTAAAGTGGGCTAGGAGCATCGCTCAGTCAAACCCAGAATATCCTCCCCTCCCAAAAAAGAAGTCAAAAGAATAGCTTTCTTAACCTCCTGCACATAGCTCACCACCTTTCTTACTACCACCTTCACCCAAGCCCATGCCATTTGGAGCCTGAGCCATAGTTCTGACTGCCTAACTAGTCTTCCTACAAATACTCTTCACCCCCAAAATGTATTTTCTCAGCCTAGACTAATTCTGTTAAAATTTAAGTCAGATCATATTCCTCCTTCTCAGAATGACTTTCCCATCAGCTTTGCAATAGACTACACAACCATATATGGTCGGCCCTACAACTGTTCTGAGCTCATCTTTTCATCACACAGCCTTAGCTCTCTCCAGTAAAGCCATACTGCTCCTTCCTCAGGACCTTTTTGGTACTTTCTGTTTCCTCTGCCTAGAACATTTTTCCTTATTTCCATGTGGCTCATTAACTACTTTAATTGCAGAGTTTCTTTTTTAGTGTGACCTTAAGAGAAAAGGTTCTTTGGTCACCCTATGTCAAATAGCACCTTCCTGTTACTCTTTACCCTTTTCCCTGCTTTCTTTTTCTTCGCACTTGTTATTATTGCTAGGTTTTTGCTTCCATGCTATTGACCCCTTTTAGAATGTGAATTTCATGGAAACAGAATTATTTGCTGCTGTATTTGCAGATAAAACAGGGCATGGTACCTATAAGAGTGGACCCTTTAAAAGAAATGTTGCTTAAATGAATAAATGATAATGTAATGAGTATCTACTGTCTCTTTTTCTCCACACCTCTTATCCCAACTTCAAGGAATATATTAATTACTTATAAGCTACTACTGCTCTTATTTTTCCATTTAGAAATTCTTAAAAAATTCCGTTTTCTAGAGTGAGCTTTTAAATATATGTGGTTTTTAACCACCTCCACTATATTTCTATAAAAACTACTTATCTCTATCCTAAATAATTACGATTAATCATTTACTTTGCCTCATTGAAAAGAGTATTAGCCATTCCTGTTAAGAAGTGTGTTTTGCTTGACTCATTTTCTAAGTAACGCATAGGAGCCTGTCAAAGAGAAAGGAGTGGCAAACTAGAATTGCTACAATATTCAAAGATGTTCTCTTACTTTCAATTAATTCCTAATAATAAGTAAAATTTTAATAGGACAAATAAATTATTTTATTTATGTATTTGCAAGTATTTAATGAAACATAGTACAAAGTTGAAAGAACAAGGGTTTTTTATAGGCTGGTTATACATCCATTTCCTAACTTATTAATTGCTAATCTGTTATTTGCAGCTTATATTGGCTTTTCTTTTTCTTCCTACCTTAAATTCCATATCATAATACAAACCCAAAATTTGAGGTTTTGTTCCCTTTTTTTTGTTTTTGTTGTTGTTGTTTGTGGTACTGGATCAAACTCAGGGCTTTATACATACTAGGCAAGCACTTACAAATGAGCTACACTCCCAGCTGCCAAACTCCATTTTAAACATAGAATCTGATGGGTTCAATATTTTAACTTACATAAACCTTAGTGGAGAATGCTGTTCACCTCATGGTGGCTAGAAAGCAAAGAGGGAGAAAGAGGAGAGCCAGGTCTAATAGCTCCATTAAGGGCACACCCTTAATGACTTTCCTTCCACTGGGCCCCACTTCCAATGGCACCACAGGCTTGGGATCAAGTCTTCAACACATGTGCCTTTAGGTAAAATTCTAGATCCAATCTGTAGCAGTCTTTAATCTCTAAATCTGTTTCCTTATCTGTTAAGTGAAGATAATATAAATCCTCTCTCCTACAGGTGTAGGGAAGATTAAATCAGAACATAGGTAAAGCATCTAAGACACAGTAGATGCTTAAGAAATACACTTCTCCTTCCACGTTTCACTCGCTACTGCTTTTCTATCTTCAGATATGCATAGTGTCTTAATCTTGAAAAGGCCTTCACTTAATTCCAACGTCTTCAACTTCTTTCTTTCTTTTTTTTTTTTTTTTGCAGTATTGGGGCTTGAACTCAGGGCCTACACTTTGAGCCACTCTACCAGGCCCATTTTTGTGATGTTTTTTTTTTTTGAGATAGGGTCTCTCAAACTATTTGTCCCGACTGGCTTTGAACCATGATATCCTCCTGAGTAGCTCGGATTACAGGCATGAGCCACTAGCACCTGACTTCAAGTTAATTTTTATTTTTTCACTGCTAAGCTTTAATCAGCAGGCTTCTTCTTGTTGTGTCCATGTGCCTTTATCTTTTGTACCACTAATCCACTGAGAAATCTAAATATTTGTTACTTTGAAAAACATGTATGTTTCTTAGGCATTTAACCAAATTTGCCTCCTATGCCTTTTTTTTTTTTTTTTTTTTTGCCTCCTATGCCTTGAGTATAAATTAACCATCTTTGGAAACAGTAACAATTCTTGTAGGCAGTTAGGACCTACTTTAAGGTTGCTTTTGAAAAAAGCACCAGATGCTAACTACAGAATTAGAAAGGAAGAAATGGGGAATCCACATAATCATTTTTAGTATTTTTTTAAAAGTCCAACAAAAATTATAGGTTACCCTAGATAAGTAGCTCGTGGCTCATTAAGCTTATGTGTTATTAGCTGGAATCTATAAGCTCAATAACATGAATAAATATGTCACTGAGAAATTCTGATTATTAATAACTTCTTGGAAATTTCTGGACTCTAAAAGAAAATACATAACAAGGGAGTTTTGTTCTGTTGGACTAAAAACTATGACTATTTGAATATAAAATAAAATTTGTTTAAGTTTTGCCATAACTTCTATGTGATGTAACTGAATAATTTTTTCATTTACCTGAATTTGTGCTTTCATTTCATAGATATTATGCCTTAGAAGTCTCATATTTCAAATCCTCTTTGGATCGCAAATTACTTGAACTTTTATGGAATAAATACTGGGTGAATACGCTGAGTTCCTCTAGCTTGCTTACTGTAAGTACTGTACTAGTGAGGGATTTATTTGAAATTTTTAGGGGGCTGGGGGTTGAGATAGGGTCTTCCTCTGTAGCCCAAGTTGGCCTCAAACTTGTGCTCCTCATTCCTTATCTTCCCAAGTGCTGGGATAACAAGCATGGGCCACCATGCCAGGCAAATTGAAATTTCATCTAAGCTACAGAAGCTGTTTAATACCTGAAACTCTTATTTCACAGAAAGACAGTACCTGACTTGGTCAAGACACCAGGTCTAGGGTAGGATTCTGCACCACCAAGCTGGATCAGAATGAGCCAATTCAAGGTCTATTTCATGTGCCAGAGATACCAAGTCTAAATGGTATCAGATCTGCACATGCCTTAAAGAGACTTATAGAGAACAAAATACAAAGACAGTTTTTGTTGCATCATGTAACAGATATCTAAGGTAGGTCTCTAACAAGTAACAAGATACTCAATGAAATAAGAAAGGGAATTGTGTAAGCTATTAAGTTAAGGAATAGAGCTTATCTCAGGCAAATTTTTTCATTCATGCAATATTACGAAGTCTTAGTTTTTCCACTCTCAGCTTTATCAGTTAAATTCATTTTCAGGCTTCATATTAATGCAAGATGGAAGCTTTACCTTCAGATCTCCTAGCCTCTCAGTTTTACATTCAAAAGAGAAAACTCAAGATATATACACTGGCATATTCTCAGGCAAGGCCTCATCGTATCTGACTAACTTCACTTGCCCATCATTAGACCTGCTGTGGGCCAGAGAAATGAACTTTAGTGGCTGAGTCACAGCCAGTGCTTCACTGCTGGGCAGAGTTGGAGACAACTCCTTCAAGAGCACAGGGACTAGCATGGAGAAGGACAGGTACCCAGAAAGAAATCTGAAGATCATTACCTTAAAGCAACAAATGCTAGACAGAGAAAAAAATTAAAATTAATATTCTCTGGTATATCATTAAAATCTATTTAGAAAGATATTTATTTAATAACTCTTTCTGTATTTAGAACTGAGGAGCAGTTTTACTCTTTGAAAAAAGTAGGCTGTTTCATATAGTATCAATACATGGAGGTTAGAACCATGGGAGTTGGAATAAAATAAACAGAGTTTTGAAAACAACCTTACAAATTTAGTAGTTCTGGGTAATTTCAGAATGTTATTTAAATATTACTGAGCCTTTTATTTTGTTTTGTTTTTGTTGGTACTGGGGTTTGAACTTGGCTTGTGCTTGCTAGGCAGATACTTTACCACATGAGCCACATTTCCAGCCCTTTTTTACTTCTTTAGATCTTTTTTAGGTGCATTTTTTTATTTTGGTTTGGTTTTTGTTTTTAGGAGTACTGGTGTTTGAGCTCAGGGCATCATGGTTGCTAGGCAGGCCCTCTACCAATTGAGCCACTCCACCAGCCCTCAAGGTCTTGTGTTTTTGCCTTTGGCAGGCATCAGACCATGATCCTTCATACCTAAGGCCTCCCATGTGGCTGGAGGTGCACAGTGGGATCTTGATAACTTTTTGCCTGAATTGAAACCTCAGTCTTTCTAGTCTCTGCCTCCTGCATAACTGCAATTATAGGCCACCTGTGACTAAGCCTATCTTGGTATACAATGGTGATGATAATATATCACTAAGCACATTGAGAGAATGAGGTACTGGTTTTTTTGTTTGGTTTGGTTTTTGGTGGTGGTACTGGAGTTTGAAATCAGGGCCTTGAGCTTGGTAGGCAAGTGTTATACCACTTGAGCTACACCCTCAGCCCATTAGGTACTTTATATAAAGCACTTAGCAAAGTATATGGCATATAATAACACCCTAATAAATGATTATTAATGATTATTATTACTTTGGTGCATTGTGTTCATGGAAAAAGACCACTTGTGAATCTACTTACTAAGATTTTAAGCACAATTCTGACAAGGTTTTTAGTATTTTCTAGGTGCCAGACACAAGGTTTTAATATGTTGTTTCCTTAGAGACACGTGTACTAATAGCAGCCAGAAGTGACACCTGATAGCAAGGGAAGAAAGCACCGGATCAGGGCTGGAGGTGTGGCTCAAGCAGTAGAGCACCTGCCCAGCAAGTGCAAAGCCCAGACCAAAACAAAACAGAAAACAGAAAAACACCAGAGCAGTCTGAGTAGACAGGGACATGGCTGTCTGTATATCTCAGCACTATATATATGAGGACACTGATAATCAGGAAAAGATTGAGTTAGGTTTCCTCCCTTTTGTGATTTTTTTTTAATGTGGTCCATTACAACATTTTAAGAAAAAAATATGTAAATATATGTTCAACTTCTCTTCTTCCCCAGCCTAAATCACTTAATATCAGCATGTAAACTAAAAGCTACAGAAAGTTATTTTCTATTTTTCTATTAGTTGCCTAAATTTATTCTATATGCATTTGAAGTGGAATTGGATGTTTTATTGACATTTTAATAGTATAACTGTTTCTGGTAGCTTATGTTTTCATGGCTTGAGTAACTAAATCTTATGATTATGATGAGGTCTATAAACCTTAGGGTTTTTCTAAGTTTATGAAAGAAAAATGTGTTAATTTTCTAAACTACTTGCATCCACACAGAATAGATATATCTTTTTAAAATATCTAAGTTTGTAAAATCATCGGCAGAACCAGTAGCATTTTAAAGGGCCTGCTGTGTAGCAGTAAGACAGCAAAGACAACTTTGGTGTTTGGTGGAACTATGTTTCCTGGATGCAATCTTACAAACTGAGCAAATAAAGTAACATACTAATTTTTGCCAACTTGTTCACTAATACTTCACAACTTATTTTTGCAGAAAAAAAATTACATTTTAATTACCACTAAAAGATAATACTTTATGAAAATCTTTTAAAAAATATCACACTTAACAGCTAGGTATGGTGTCTCACACCTATAATCCCAGCACTCAAGAGGCTGAAGCAGGAAAATCACAAATTGGAGGCTAGCCTGAGCTATATATGGAATTCCAGGACACCCTAGGCGAGATCCTGTCTCAAATAAATAAATAAAATATCACAGCTAAGTGCATACATGAAGCTATTGATTTTTTCCTTTTTAAAAAGTGTATAATATTAAAGAAAAAATAGTATACATAATATTCTAGTGTCTCAAATCTAGGTATGCATGTGAGCATGTAACAGCACTCTAAATAATATAACTGGTTATAGTGAGGTGGTGGGATTATTGGGTGTTATTTTCTGCTTTACATTGTTCTACATTTTCTGTATTTTCTATAACTAATTTTATGACTAGAAATGCTAAAATATTATTTTTTAAATATTGTTATAAATACTAATTCTCAAAGTTCAATAACAAAATGAGCTAATAATTACTTACCCTTACTAGGTGTCATGGACAGTCCTGAGACCTTTATATACATTTTAACTTTGAAAAATGCCTTAGGGTAGAAATTATTGCTACCCTCTACACTCAAATTCATTGTACTTCAAAACCTCCTGTCATAGCAAATGCTAGATTTAAACAGTTAAGACTGGGTATGGCTCCAAGAGAATGCTTGCCTAGCAAGCCTAGCAAGTTCAAGGTCCTGAGTTCAATCCCTAGTACTGCCAGAAAATAAACAACTAGATTTAAGCAGTCAAAGAGACAAATTCCAAATTTAATCTTGAAATTTTAAAAGGGAAAACATCTAAATTTTACTGCTGGAATTCAGAAGCAGTTTTTGTAGCTAGAATTTAACTTCCTACTTCACTGACTATCCACTCAGATTTTATAGTGGAAACATGAAATGTTTTATGTAGAATAAAATTAATTTACCTAGAAATATATAGGTGTTTAATGGGAAGGTGGTGCACACCTGTAATCCCAGCTATTCGAGAAGCCAAGGTAGGAAGATCAGAAGTTTAAGACCAGCCTGAACAACTAGCAAGACCCTGTCTCAAAATGAAAAGGGTTGAGAATGTAGCTCAGTGTTCTACCACTGAGCTACATCCAAGACTCTGGGTTCAACCCTGTGTGCAAAAAATAAAAAAATAGAAGTAAAATGTTTTTTTCCTTTGCCATACTAGGGTTTAAACTCAGAGCTTCATGCTTACTAGGCAGGCACTCTACCACTTAAGATACGCCACCAGTCCAACATATATTTTTTTAAGAGTAGACTTATATTATACACTGATCAATACTGTTTTCTCCACAGAATGCAGACTATACCACTGGTCAGGTGTTCGATTTGTCTGAAAAGTTAGAGCAGTCAGAAGCCCAGCTGGGACGAGGGAGTTTCATGTTGGGTTTAGAAACACATGACCGAAAGTCAGAAGATAAACTTGCCAAAGCTACAAGAGACAGGTAAGAATTAATCTGTAAGATTCCTGCCCCTAACTCTTCTTTCAAATTTGCAAATAATAGTAGGAGTCAAGTTTCTTATGATTCAATTCAGTTATAACTGAATTAAAATGATACCTGAATATTATCTGAATACTACCTTCTTAGGATCTGCAAAACTTATCATACATAGATTTTTAATTTGAAAATTGAGGAGACAATAGGGAAAAACATTTAGGCTTAAATCAAAGACCTAGGTGATGTTACAGAAAACTGCAGTCACATTTTCTAGGTTTAGCTAGAAAAAAGTGTAATGAAGAAAAGCAGTCCATCACTGAATTTTTTTTTTTTTGAGGAGAAAAAAATTTTTGCAAAAGATGTCCTAACCTACGCTGACCTAATCATTTTTAATCATTATATCTATGTAAGTTTATATAAATACAAGCTGATACATTTGGTATCTATTTTAAGAAAAACTGGATTAGTCTATAGGAAAAAGAAAGGAGAAGATAAGATGAAGTTTACCATGACAGAAGGAATCATGTTGGGTTAGAAATGTCTTATTCTCTTCTTCATGGGTTTTTAGGAGGTAGAGCGAATAGCCTGAATAAAAGTTATATTTTCCTTTGGCAGTAGGTCTTATATTTGGTACTTGCTTTTAGTATGTGTTTTGGTTTGACTGTCTTTTTGTCTGTTATTTGTAATTTTATCTACATTTGCATCTCAATGTCTTTAAAAAATAGCAAAAATTTCTGTAGAAGAATTTCTTGAATTATGAAACAAGAAAAAGTAAGAAGAATAAAAGTAGAAAATTTTCTTTTTTGTGATAGCTTTATAAGAGTTGCATCTCCTCTAAATAATGGTAGAATTTTGCCATTTTTTTCCTTTTTATTTTTTATCGCTTCTGAAATCTGAGTCCTTCACTCACTAACCTAACTTTCACCTTAATTGTTTGAAGGATATTTGTGATTATTTCAGGAAAAAGGAAAAAAAAAAAAAAAAAAGCATAGAATTCTTTAACATTTTTTAAATTTTTCTAGGAAATAGTAATAACAAATGCTACTGTAATACGACAATCAATCTGTAGTTACAGATTGATATGTAATATTGATATAAAATTAATGTTTGGCTTTAGTTACCTTCTAAAACAGAACTTTTCCCAAAGCTGCTGCTAAGTAACAGTAATTGATTTTTATGAATTTTTTTACATCAAATTTTATACTGTCACTCTTTCATGAAAGTTCAAGTAACTAATAAAAGGTCAAATGATACTCAGAAGGCTAAGAATCACAAGGGTAAACTTCAAATTGGTGTGGTTTTAGGAGTATGAATAAAACTGAAAACCATTATTGGGGTGCAAGGATAGACATGAGGGGAACTTGCATGTTTGAAACAGTTTTCAATTTGTGACATTATGTGTTTCTTCTTTCTAGCTGTAAAACTACCATAGAAGCCATCCATGGATTGATGTCTCAGGTTATTAAGGATAAACTGTTTAATCAAATTAACATCTCTTAAATAATCACTGAGTAGTACATTTGCCTGAAAGTTGATATGTAAAAAGTACTCAAGTAACACTTTATAAACCAGTTACCAAAAAAATCTGATTAGAAGTATAAGGTGCTCCGAAGTGTCCTAAATATTAACATCCTATAATAAAACTCTATAAAGTGAAATTGTCCTTTCATTGTTTTGTGGATGGAGTTATTTTTTTCTAGTAGCCTGTATGCTCGTTAGACCCTTTATATGTTTCCTGTTGAAAGTAATCAAAGAATTTCTTGCCATACAGTGTTCAGAACTCTTTTCTATTTTGTTTGTACCTTCTTTTGGTGGTCTATTAGTAAAAATGTAGTTTAACTTAACATCTTTATGTTCCTTGAAACACGAGCTAAGTCACCATAAATTATTTTCCTAAAAAATTAAATAACTTATTAGAGAACCTAGCATGGGTTATCCAGTCATTCAGATAGTCACCAAGTGCCTTTCCTGCACCCGGCCCAATGTTACTCTGGAGAAATGTTGAATAAGCTAGAGATGGCCACTGTGCTCAGAGAACTCACCATGGAAGCTAAGGCTAAGTTAACAAGAATTTAAGTATTCTGCTATGAAGATAAAGTATGCTGAAGGATTCTCAGGAGGAACATTTATTCTAGAAAAGGGTTAGGTTAGTAAGGTAGCCCTCCTGGAGGAAGTGATCTGACCATTATGGTAAAACTTGAAAGAAAGGAGGCCTAGCCAGAAAAGGGGTAATGTGAGGTTGTTACTATTACAGACTGGGAGTACAACCATGTGCAGAAGGTAGGGGCAGAAAGCAAGGAAATGACAATTCATTTAAACTTGAGATTGCCCAATAGGATGTGGGAAGTGATAAGAGATGATTCAAGAGGTAGGACGAGGTTAGATCCTATAGGTGCCTTTGAAGTGGATCCTAACAGCATTCAGGAGCTAGAGTTTTAAAAAGAACAGAAATGTACTGGGGTTTTTTGGATTGTTTGGTTTGGTTTTTGTTTTTTGTTTTTAAGAGGTTTTACTGGCTTTGGGATTTTTTTTTTGTTATTTGTTTGTTTTGTGGTATAGGGTTTGGACTCAGGGCCTTGCACTTGCTAGGCAGGCACTCCACCACTTGAACCACATCTCCAGCCCTTTTTTTTGCTTTAGTTATTTTTCAGGTAGGGTTTCTTGTTTTGTTTCTTTTTTCTCCTTGCTGGCCTTGGACCACAATTCTCCTACCTCTACCTCCCCATAGCTAATAATCATAGGCATGCACTACCATTCATTCCTAGCTTGTTTGTTGGGATGGGCTCTTGCTAACTTTTTGCCCAAGCTGGCCTCAAACTGCGATCCTCCTGATCTCTGCCTGCCAACTAATTGAGATTATAGATGTGCACCACCACCCCTGGCTCTGGATTAGTTTTTATGTGAATGTTCTGTAGAGATTTGATAGTAAAAGCTAGATGAGTTAACTGTTGGGAACAAGGAATGAGGAGAGGGCCTAAGACTGGCTTGTGGAAACATCAAATTTTTTTAAATGGACAGAGGAAGAGGAGATCACAGGAGGAGAAGAGTGGAAAACCTTTAAAAAGGAACTTTACCAGTAACTTCACATGGGACCAAAAGGGCAGGGAAAACAAAGCCTAAAAGTTTCCTGGTAACTTTTACAGTGAGGTAGTCTGGTTATGATAAGAAAACTAGTTAGTAATCGAACACATTCTTAAACAGACTATAAATACATTAACATTTTCGTTTTGTTTTGCAATACCTTTAAGTAGAAGCATGTACCCCCAGTTTCATGGTTCAACCTCACCTCCACATGACTGCCCCCAAAGAAGAATCTATATTTGCTTCCACAGTTTCGATCATGCCATCACATATTGTGTCATCCTGCTAGGAACTCTGACAAGCCGTCAGGTTTCCCTAACAGACATGATTGAGTGGTAAGGTTATGATTTTGACACAAGAGATTAAGGAGACATTGAAGTTAACCATGAAAACATAGTTTCCATTCCAAGACTTGAATATAGTTATCCACATTTAAGATTGTTAACCTAATCAATTACGATATCCCAGAAAAACAGAAAATACTTGTGCTTATGACAGAATTACCAAGAAAGGAGAGCTTTTCAGTCCTAATTTCACTGGACTCGCTTCCAAAGTCTCAATGTAGCAATAACAGTACCTTCATTGTTAGTAACTAAAAAAAGTTGCTTAAATAAGAATTTGTTTGGCTCACCTAACTCCAAAGTGGAGAATCATATTTGGCATAGGCACAGTTGGATTAGACTTCCTGTTAGGATTCTCACCTGAGCCCTCTACATGTTAACCTAAACCTCAAGCTAGTTTCCCCCAAACTGGCTGCCCACCACACCACTAGGAGGAAAAGCTGCTCAGCGACGTCAAAATGAGGTTCTGACTTCATGCTGATGTATCTAAAAGCAGTGAGTCCATGCCTGGTATCACACACAATTGGTTAAGACCACTTTTTAAGGGTTACCTCTAAACCTGGAAGCAGGGTCATTAACACGAACTGTGTGACTACTACACAGTGGGTTAAGTGGATGCCGCAGAAATAACCAATAGTGTCCTCTCAATCAGCCATCCATCCCAGGCAAAAATAGTCCCAGAAAGGAGCATTTGCACTTTTTTGAAAATGTAGTTACTGTATTTAGAAAGATCCTGTACAGATATTTTTGAAGTATATATTCGAGTTTTAATATCTATTCATGGTCACTTTTCTTATATAAATGCTTTATAACATTGGGCTTTTAGGAAATCGGTTCAATCTACAGGCATTCATAAACTAAGTCATGAAATGGGGCTTTTTTTGCCTTTTTCTGCAAAGTATTATCTTACATCCTTGAGCTAAGGCCATTTTTCCTAAGTATAGTCTGTTTTTTGCTAAGTCTCAAATTTTTCAGAGATAATTTCTCATACTCTTTGATGATAATATACAGGAAGTATCATAAATGTAATCCTAATGTCCAAGTAATAAAACTGGATCCAAAGCAGGACTAAAAGTTTAGGTTGGAGCACAGATGGGGAGAGAAGTCAGTGACTATAGAGTGAGGATTGAGGCCACTTAAGAGGTCCACTGAGATTCCAGAATCAAGGGTCCTTCAAATTTTCCAGGTTGTTTTAATCTCAAGCTAACTCCCAAACAATTTGATGCATATACATGTGTGTGTATGTATATACACATACTGCATATAGTACAATATATACATATATGTGAATTTAGGCATTTAGTGTTATTTTTATGTTATATTATACAACTATGAGTACTTCAATCTTGATGTTGTATTACCAGTGCCATACCATACAAGTTATTTTGAAATCAGTAATACTGCCGAGAACAAAACCAGGAGAGAAGAGAAGCTGTTTGTGCTCTGTTGTTTCTGAATTTGGAAAGTAAACTCTGAAACCAAACATCACTTGCTCCTTTGGAGAGATCAAGTCTGAAGATTGTTGGCACAAATTAGTATGACTACCTGTATTCAGAACTTTGAAAAATCACTGCATTGTACAATAGAATAATAAACTGCCCAATAATACAGACAGTTAAAAATAAACACAGAAGAGGAGTGTAAGTAACTTAGTGAATCACAGAAACTGAAAGTTGGAGTGCTGCATGCTGCGGAGGTTCAGAGTTTGCTGAGCTGTTCTGTGAGTGATAAGGTACAGATGTATAAGTCAGACATGCAGAGAAGAGTTCATTTATATTACAAAGTCTGCACTGGATCCACATGAAGCTGAATAAACAATACAGGATGTTGAGTTTCCAAGTTTTCTTTATATTTTTGGATTGTTTTAATTAGGATGTAAGACATATTGGTGAGCAATATGGTTTCTTGCCTTTGTTTTTTTGAAGACAGGAAAATAAACCATGCAGAATGACAACTCTTATTTTTGCTTATCCTTATGATATAAAATAAGTAAAGATAATTGTGTTCAAGTTATCATTAGATAAAAGTTACCCATTTGCTTAATAATTGCTGTATAAGTCATTGTGTTTGCAAAATATTAGTTAAGAAATTGGAAATTCAGTTATTTGTTCTCTCATTTTGGCCTGTTTTCATGACAAGTTCCAACAGCAAGTTGCTAGTATTTTGGCCCCAAGAAGGTAAGTTGCTTCTTAGGGCCAAAATACTAGCTTAAGGACTTCAAGTAACTTCTTCTGAGGTAATCAGTCCATAAGTTTCTTATGATTTCTAAACCTTTTATCCAAATATTAGCAGCAGAAATATCATTCACCTTTGTAAGCATAAAGTTAAAAGCTTATTTTATAAAACATATTTCTGAAAGTCAGGTCAACTGTGACCAGATTGGCAAACTTGAACTTTTCATCCAGAAGTCAGAATAATATGAAAATAAAATCAGGAACTCTGTCATTTTGGGTCAGATTTGGGAGGAAACAGCTAAAATCACAGCTTAATATCTAACAACTATGATTAATTGCTTTCTCAACATGTGGATTATCTTGGTGCCAAAAATTATGGAACAATTGCCTAACAAATTTGGAGAGTCCCAGATGTCAGTACTCATATTTTCTTTGGACTACACTAAGCAATTGTGCTAAACTTCCTAATGACAGAGTAAAATGGTATTGTGCCTTGGGGCATATTTTGATGAACTACAGTTGTACTTTTCAAAAATCTAAAAGTTATGTGCGTAAAGAAGTATATTGTCTGGAATAATGTTTGACCTTTTTATTGGATCTTAGAAGGTTATAAGTATCTATCTTGAAATTATGAACATGTTTCCAACTGATGATCATGACTTTAAGCAACTTGCCTTCCTGAAAAATTAGTTGGCATAAACTCATCTTCAAATGTTTAACATATGATTCAGTTTTGTTCCTAAAACTTGCTACTTCATACCTCATCATATTCAGTTCAGTTTACTCTTTTTATTAGTGGTAATGCTAAATAAGTCATTTATAAATATGTTCAGCTTTAATTTTTTACTTCAATCCCTATGTAATCTAGCTATTATTTCTTACATGACTTTTCAGCATAATGAGGCTATTACCTTAATCTGGACTGAAAAGTAAATTAACACAAAATAGACTAAATAGATTAATTTGGGACTCACTATGTTGAATAACTATAACCATCTGAGATGTTTTATAGCTTCAGGAAAGTTAATTTGATGTGCCACTGAGTCAGAATACACACGAACA